TTTTTTTTTTTTTTTTTTTTCTGAATTTCACAAGGGCCATTGGGGCCTTTTGTGATTTTTGAGAAGTTGACGTTGTAAATATATGATATTTTCATGAATCCAGTAAATTCCATGTAAATGGAGCTAAACCTACCGGGTAATTTCGTTTTGGTTTTACTTTTTAATTGTCACCATGTTGAGTTTGTCTGAATCTCTCTTGCCTTCTCTCCTTTTAACATTGAAAATGCTCCAGGATCCTCGTCGACATGATCCTAGGCGCGTGGCAGTCCCTGCTGATGTGCCACCACCGACATCTACTGTAGAAGATAATGTTATTTCTGTCCAACATGTAGCTTTACAATCCAACGTCAATTCTTCCAGCCCTACCCTTCCATCAGTATTACCACCACTGCAGTCTATCTCTGAAAGTGCCTCTCAGCTTTCGGTGCCTGCAACACAGACTGAAATAGTTCCATCAGTATCGCCTATACAGGAGGTCGAACTGTCAGGTCAAATACATGAACTCCCGAATGTAGAAGCCGATGACGTTCTAGCTTCAGAAAGGGAAACAAATAATACTATGCATTTTTCACCTTCGCCTGTAAGCATAGTTGAGGACACAGTTGCGCCTGCGTCAGTCAATATTGCGGTGCTTGACGAAGTCTATTCCTCATCATCTCAAGAGGGGGACCAACTTTCGCCAGATATTTCTAATTCTGAAACAACTGAGAGTGTATCAGTAGAGTTGCCAGTGCTTCCGCAGTACATTGATCTCAATGTAGACAATCAAAGAAGTTTGAGGAAAGGGGCACTTGAACGGTTATTCACTTTGTACCAGAATTTTCAAAGGACGGATTTTAAGGAAACTCAAATTGCATTGGTTGCCAGATTGTTTGCACAGGTAGAACTAGAGATCCCCGTGGATAATTTTACTTTGAGCAAAATTGCTTTTTCTCTTCTAGTAATTCAGGCTGTGTTGATTCCAAATCCCAGAGGGCATTTTTTCGATTTTCCAGATTGCTGAAGTTTTATTGGAACTAGAACTTGCGAAGTTGTATGAACTAACTCCTATTTTACAAAAAGTTTTTGGAATGTCAACATCATGGTTTATAC